ATAATTTATTGAAATTCTTAATTTTAGTCGTCTGATTCAACAATATCAGATACTACAACAATCAGCAATCCATCAATATCTAGTTCAAATTCTTCATTAACTAATGGTGCTACAACTAAAAATACTAATGGTTGGGCATCATTAGCAACTGGATTTAAAGAAAAAAAGACAACATCAGAAGTGACTAGTACTACTTCGAATAGTTCAGCAAGTTCAATTCTTGCTGAATTAACAGCATTGACTACATCAACTAATAGTAATAGTAATGCAAAACGTTCACCACCATCACCAAAATCAATAAGTTCGACATCATTAAAACAATCAATAAATGGTAATAATGCAGGTTTATTAAAAACAACAAGTTCATTATCACTTTCATCACTAAAATCTAATAAACCCTCATCACCTCCTGTACTTAAACCTCAAATATCATCATCATCATCAATAAAATCTACACAAAAATTATTACCAACATCGAAAAATCTACAACGAATTAGTTCACCAACGCCACTTGGTCGACAAGCATCCGTTGTTAAATCTCCTCCATCAACAAGTAGTACAACATATAATCGTTTAAATAGTACTGGTAGTAATTCACCATCATCAACAACTGGTACAAATACTAAAATAGCAACGAGTCTTGATTTTGAAAAACGTTTAAAACAAATGAAAAAAATGGCAGCTGAAAAAAGTTTGACTAAGAAATTTTGAAAATATATCTTTTTCTGTTTCTATATATATATATATGTGTGTGTATGTTCGAATGTTTAATATGAGTGTAAGTATCTGTGCGTGTGTACTGCTTTGATCCGTTTTTTTTTTTTTTTTTCGTCGAATCTCTATTCATTTTCTCTTTCTCGTACTCATCACACACACAGAGAACAGTAAAAAAAAAAAAAAACAACAAGAACTTTGTGTGTGAGAAGATTGATTACATCCATACTTAGATTAGTATTTCTTTTTTTCAACAAGAGAGAATTCGAATCACCAAAAAAAAGAAAACAATATTAGTCAAAAAAATTCAATTATTAGTACGATGTTCACGTCGATATAATATCTTTAGATTAAGAAAATAAAAAAAAACAGAACATGTATAGAAAGAGAAATAGGAATGTTTAGAGTTTATATTAAGAGAATTTGTTACGATCCTATTGCCATAGAAATAAAGTCAGATAAAATCTATATTTTGTTTTTATTAATTATAAATATTTTACTTCAAGGCGAATAACACTCCAGAAAGAGAAGAATAACATACTGTACAAATACAAGGACAATTAATAAGATACAAGGTAAGAGAAGAACCAAACAGGTGCGTAGTACAAAGGTATGTATGTCAATGAAAAATTTTCAAAAAGTGTCAGAAAATTATTTATATTTATTATCATTCTTTTATAATTACTTGATAATATATGATTTATAGTAATAGTCTGATTATATCTATTATTTTGAATAATTTATGACGGAAAAAAGAAATCAAACTAATTATGTAATAAATAAAAAAAAATGTTATTTTATGAAGATTTATAAAACAAAAAGCCGGAAAATAGAGCGAAGATCAATTAGTTCTTATATCCATATTGATACTAGATTATATCTCCAGTAAAAATACACAATAAGATTTTCATTTTTAAAATTTGTTTTTTTTTTGGTTTATTTTTAGTAGTGCTATGATTGTTGTTATCTTAGGTTTAATTCACATATTTATATTTGTTTAAATTATTTTAGTCGAAATAAGACTGCTACAAATGCACATACCATTATTAATATCGATTCAAATACAATGGAACAATAAATATTGATATGTTAAAAAAAGAAAAACAATAATTTCCTACCATGCATCAACGAAAGTAAGTATTCTTTCAATAGAATTTTCATTTAATAGTCTTCAATGCTTTTCTAGAGAATTATAAAACAAACAATTACAGAAAAAAAAACTGATGGAATTATCATGAACAATACCATTGATAAAGAGAAAATCATGCTTTATACTTAAAGTATCTGTTTATTTCGCAAACAGATAATTAAGATTAACAAATAATTCAAGTTGGCAATATGTATTGCCATACACATGTTTCCACAGAGTATTCAGATTAGTGATAAAAATACGAAAAGAAAAGATGCAAATAATCGAATGAATCTCTTACAGTTGACAATAATGTCGAACAAATATAATATTATTTCTGTTCTAGTTGAAAGAATAATTGAGATTCTAAATAACGACGAACTTTTTAACTACATTGAAACGATTGATTTACAGAGAAGTTGCTTATAGAACATAAAAGAAAACAGATATCAATTGCTGAATGTCAAAATAGTCTCTATTTGAATTATGAAATCAACAGTCAAACAAATTAAGATTGTTCAGTTACAAGTTATGCTAGTTCAAGCGATTTACCGAAGTAATGTTGAGAGGAAAGAATATCAAAGCGAAATAATATAGAAGTAAAAAATGTCAAATTTTCGATAGCTTCTTCGAAATGTAAGACACATCTGTTATGTTTTTATGTAATGGTAACAGTTTAAAGGAGGTCATATTCACAGCAGCAGACGGCTAAAATAAACTATACAAATGTTTTTGTTTTTGTTCAGTGACCTCATATGATTAAGCATCAAAGCGTTCTATTGCATCATTAAGATGATCAGAATAATATTGTTCATTCAGTTAGTCTAACAAAATAATATGACAGAAACCGTTAAAAAACATAAAATATAATCTTGTTCAATAATATAAATAATCCTCAACATTCTTGGTAAACAGTCCAATTAACATGTTGATCTTGGTTTTCTTTCTGAATTCCTTGACAACTATCTATTGTTTGCTCCACCACTAAGAGTAGTGAAAGAAATACTCACTAGTATTGGCTGCACCATTTTGTGACAGTCCAGTTTTTGTAATCGGTAATAAACGTCAAACAAAAGTTTAACTTTAACAAGCATAAATCCACCAATGCTTTTCCTCAACCTAAAAATTTTCAAGAGTCATATAGTCGAGTATATTTTCTCAGAGTGAGAATTTTTTCAAAAGATGATCCAAAAGTCATCAGAAGATAAGGATTCCTACTTCCAAGAATACATTTCTTCTTTCATAACTAGACACATTTTCAGATCGATGAAATATTGAAATTGGAAGACTCATAGAGAAACATTAGGATTATTAGATATGAGTCACCGAACCATCTTATTCACATATAAATGAATTAATCATCGCAAGAAAACTAAAATAAGTCAAGACAACAAAGTATTCACTTCATATCGACTTTCTGAATCATACTTCCAAGAATTCCGTCACTATTGTACTTTTACTGTGTAAGAAAATTCTTTCACAAATACTCATTCTGACATCGAACCATCAAATGTTACTACGTCTAAAAAACACATTCTTACTGCATCTATTGCGATTGTGAGCAGACTAAACTACTAGAAAAACTTGATAGATGGCAAAGATCGAAGAATTTTGTGGAGGACTACATACGAAAGTCAATGAATTTCATATCAGAATAACTTTATGCATTGAGCTAATGAGCTAGGATTTATGTAGGAATAAGGAAGTCTCAATTGTAAGTTTTACTCAAATAACTAAATCGTTCATGTTCATCCGAAATTTCTTTCAGTCTATCGCAACCGTCGCATGAATTCATCAACAAGAGCTATCCATGACTAGGACTCTGTGATTAGCAAATCTTAAAGAACGAACAATTACTCTCTGATCACACAGAACTGTTTTTATTTGGCTACTATTCCGTTTGTATGAATCTACTATCAAAAAAATACATACATATGAAATCGTCCGATAATGCTCTGTAATCATATTGTAATATTCTATTGCACGGTGTCGAATTCACGAAAAACAATCGAAATGATATGGAGATATGATCAAGTTGCATGTTAGTAAAAGTAACAGAAAATGATATGTCATGGTTCACCTTACTACGAGTAACTAGATGGCTTGCACATACCTTCACTCTACATATTAGTGTCAAATGATGGAACTTTTTTGATACTCTACAAGATATCTAAAGCTCATTCTAGATCCTTAAAGTTTGAGGCATCAACAGGATCAACACGCACGAACTAGTAGATGAAAATCAATGACAAAAATTTGATATTTTTATATATTTCGATAAATATTTTCTAAGTTAATTATTATAAAATAGAAATCTTGTTTATGAGCGATTTTGTAGAGTACATGATGCCTTATATCTTGATTTAAGGCAGAAATAGAAATGATGAAGTTTTTAAGTTCAAATCTTCGATGAAAACACCTCAGTTTTGTTTTTACAAGCATCGATTATCGACAAAAACTAAAAGCTTCCTTGATATCTCATCTGAAGACATGATTCGACAGATTCAAAAATTTGTTCTTCCTATATCAGGTTTCCCGTATCTCATTCATATGAAGGTCTACATAGAGCATGTGCACTATACGATATCCTTTTTTGAAATATACATGATGTTATCAAGTTGATCACGATTTATATACGATATATAATTTTTTAGTAACTGTTTTCGGTTTACATAAGCATCATAAAAACTAATTAAAGAAAGGACATAGAATATTCGACGTTTATTGTAACATGCATTAAATTTGGTTTCAATATCAGTTTATCTACTCTCTTTAATTTTCATAGGAAGTTACGTTGTTATCGTATCTTATCTTCGTTCATCTTCATACATGCGGACCGGAGCTCGTGAACGATGAAAATATATCAAAAGACACGTCAAAAGAAAAAAAATATGTTATATTAAGAAGAACATTTCATCATCATTTTCTATTTTATTATTCAAAAAACTTCTCATGATAATCATCGGTTTATTTTAAAGTCTAAAACTCAACTTCATATATATGTGAAATTTTTCATTTTCAATGCATTCAATTATTCATTTCTATTAACATAAATATTATGACATAGTAATTTTTTTTATCTTTAATGCTCTTCCGTATATTTGTCTAGAACAAAATATACTAAAAACAAAAATTGCAATACAAATGAAAAGAAAATCTAAAGTTCAAAATCTTCAAATGGTTGTTGTTCTTGATAAATAATAGATTTAAGTAAAAATCCTGGTGTAAGAATTTTTACATTTTTATACCATTGTTTATATTTATTTTCTAATCGATGACGATCAGCTGTAGGATCAGCAAGTACAAGAAGAACTTCTGATTGAATTTCTGTTGAGATTTGTTCTTCTGGGTTGAATAAATGAGCACCACTTAATATAACTAATTCAATTAAGTCATTACGTGTTAATACTCGTTGAAATGAATTACAATCAATTATAAATGATACGAATGATGAAAATAATGGAATAATAGAAGTATGACGAGCTAAATGCATTGTTGACATTGTTGCATCACCGTGAATTTCAAATGGAGTTTCATCGATAAATTCATTTCGTAATAAACATTCCTCAATCCATCGTACGGAAACAATGAATATATGTCGAGCAACAGCTTGGAAAATTTTTTTAGAAAAAGTACATTGAAGTGAATGAGAAGAATCATCAACAAGTAAATGTGTTGTTGATGAATTGACATTCAAATTATTTGAAAGTGAAGCTTTTAAAGAAAAATGTTTAATAAATAATTCAAGTTGATGCTAAAATAAACATAAATAATAATTGTTTTAAAGATAATGAATAATTTTTTTTTCTTACCCATTGTTCATCTTGCAAATAAATAGTTGCGATTGATACATGTTGATGTTGCATATTGTTTGTTGAAGAAGATATTAATAATGGATTAATATAATCATATTCAACTGAACTTTCAGATTTTGTATCATCATCAATTTCTACACTTAATTGTGTAGTCTGAGGAAATGTTTCATTGTTCGACTATTAAAGGAAAAAAATAAATTAATACACAAAAACAAAGGTCAATATGCTCTTCGTCGAAACTCGGTAATTTTCATTTCGACGATGTAACTATCGGCAGTACTTGTTTTTGATCATCTTCATTTTGATGACCGATCCTATAAGCGATATGCTGAGATAATCCTTGCAGCGTATATGTGATAAATATTTCGAAAGAGTGAACGTAAAGAATGGTTGCTGAAACGAAACTTACGAATATAGGTGATCGAAAGTCATTCAGCGATCTTTCTTTTCGATAATGTTCGTTTCAGAGTGGTAAGATACAAAACTAGCATAAGATGCTATCGTCTAAGTCCTAGTAAAAATCAATTTATTTTGTTTTTGATAGAAAGTGACTATTTTTTTGAACTTCAACTTAATTTTGATTTAATTTTATTTGAAATATTTCTTACATTTTGTTTTAAATGATGTTGAAATTTCGAGAAAATTTCTTTGATTTGATTCACATTTATATTTGAATTATCCTTAGGTAGTTTTTCTACAGATGATGTTGACCATCGATTAATTTGAGATTGTTTCCTTATCATAGAACATTTTTTATATCGTAAATTTTGACAAGTTTTATTATTAATAATCTAAATAGAACATCTTCAATAATGTTTAGAAATAATTGATTAAAACAAACTCTGTTGTTGTTTGTTGTTTTATCATTTAATTGTAAATGTCTACAAAATTTAATGAAATATATTCGATATAGATTTTCTAAATTATTCTACTTTGCACAAAGAGAATCTCGTTGTGCTCTTGACATACACCTATCTATTGAGCAAATACTACGACGACGTTTCACATCAACAATGTATTTGTGACCTGATACGTTATCTGTTTTGACTGGGTACGACATGATGACACAGAATTAAATGATATATTAATATAGAATGAAAGAAGATCATTTTTCTATATATATACACTTTTATTCGTTCGTTTTCCTTTTCTTATTTGAGCACGTGATTTAAATGAAATAGAATAGGATGTTAATAATGTAGAACAACGATTTAACAAAAAATTTCAAAATATGTCTGGAAACAATATGAGAAGAAAACGGAACAATTGTATAAGCATCATTCAATTAAACATGAGAATTTCAAAATTATCTAGACATATATACAAGCAATTGTTTGCTCTACAATGAATATTAATCATTGCTTGAAAACATTCGATAAAAATAAATTTTTCCATGAAAATTATTTCTTCTATTATCGATTATTATGTTTTATTGAATTTAATGGCGGCATTATTATTTCTGTTTTTAGTTTCTCGAAAAAAGATATGATATATTGAAAACTATTTGAGTTTATTATATAGGTCTATAAATCGATAGTCAAAAAACAATAATCGAATACTACAAACGTACAATAAACAATGGGTCTTAATAAAAAAATACTAATAGACTCCGATCAAATGCATACACTTTGATCTCGTATTTTATTCAATAATCATATTTGAATAGTTAGTAATAGTCATCAAATACACAATGATAATATTGTTTTTCAATCGAATAAAAAGCATTATGCATTGTGAATAGAACAATAATACTATTGATGATCTATAATAAAATATAGATCTCATAACAATGAAAGAAAAACGATACTAAATATATTATATACCAAGCCTCAGAGAGTATACTATGAATAATGTTCTACTTCTTATATGTAGAAAAGTAACATTTGTATCTTTATCGAAGTTTTGCATGAAAAATACTATAGTATATGTAAATTGTTATTTAAAGATTTTCCATAGGACTGCATTATTGCATGATGAATATCATTATTGTAGTTTGTTGAATATTTAGAAATATCTTGAGATTTACAAAGAAAAATATTACATGTTTTATAAAAACACAACAAATAAAATTATTAATTATACAGTTATGTTATTTATTATTCATACACATATATAAATATCGAGTAGATGTCACTGTAAATTGATGATGAATTCTAAAAATGAATCATATTTATGTGGTATTGGTCACGCACACACAGACACTTATGGATAGTGGCAGAAAAAGAAGACTCTCTTGGCATCGTTCTACTTTGTTCTTGTAGATATCATACAGATCATAAAACGGTTTTTGATTTACAATTCGATTAAGTTATTCATTTTTTCATATGTGAGCTTATCGTTAATGTTATGCGTTACATATAGAATATATTATGTTAGTTTTAGATTACAAGATGTTCTATTTTTATAATTCGATTTCAACAATCGTTGTCAAGAGTAATATGAAACTGTAAATTTCGATCGAATATCATAATTATTTCATATACATAAAACAAATCATTCATCTTATCAGTATGTACAACGGTGTACCACGAGCAGTAGCTGATCTTTGGTAAGAATCTTTTCATTCTATTTTCATATATTGATTTAATTGTTTATTATGTAATTTTAGTGAAAATGATGATCTTGCTACAATGATCATTGTTGATAGTATATTTGGATTTACAACACATAAGATGAATGTTCGTTTTCGACCAAATCGTCGTTTATTACCACAATGGAAATCAACGGTTGAACAATTTCAAGAACATCTTGATTATCAACGATGTTTTGATGAAGTAACATCAATAGGTACATGGTATGATCATTTACTTGCACGAAAAAGTCCAATACAATTAACAGCATTTAGAGAACATGTAAGAAAATAAATATATTAAAATACAAAAAAAAAAAAATACAACAATTGAAAATCTCTATTTTAGTTGTATCGTTTTCTTCATTTATTTAATAAAAATTCAGGTGTTACACTTCAACCATGTTATCGTTATTCAACAGAAAAATGTGGAGGAAAAGTAGTAGCTACTAAAGCATGGTAATAATGAATTTTTTTTCTATCTTTGATATAAACAATATAAAAATAATCAATTGATTTATTTTTTAGGGCAGTAAATGATAAGATTGAAATGTTAATTGGTTGTATAGCTGAATTAAGTCCTGAAGAAGAACATGCTTTTCTTAAACCTGGCGTAAATGATTTTTCTGTTATGTATTCTTGCCGTAAAAAATGTTCACAATTATGGCTTGGACCCGCAGGTATTGAAAATTTAATATCAACAATTTCTATTCCATTCATTTTATTTTACTTGTTGTGTTAGCTTATATCAATCATGATTGTCGAGCTAATTGTAAAGTGAGTAAACGATCCTAGTTTTTTTTTTTTTCTTTGATTTTTCAATATAATTTTATTTGTTTGTTTTTCTTTAGTTTGTCGCTACAGGTTTAAGTTCAGCTTATATTCATGTACTTCGCCCGATTGAAATCGGCGATGAAATAACTTGCTGTTATGGATCGGATTTTTTCGGTGATAATAATTCACTTTGTGAATGTCATAGCTGTGAAATGTAATGCTGTTTTTTTTTTTGTACGATTGATTATATATATATTTATGTACGTATTTAAAATGTCTATTATAGGCTTGGTCACGGTGCATTTGCTCGAATGCATTCATCAATATCAAGACCATTACCACATAATGATGTTACTTCTACTGAAATAATTGCATCATCTATTACTAATGAACAATCAATAAATAAACGTATGATTGTTTCAACACGTTTACGTCAAACTGATAAACGTCTACGTAAAATTCAGTCAGTTAATAGCATTAATACAATAGACGAGAAAAGTGAGAATTTTAATCGATGAAAAAAAAAAAAAAAATTTTTTTATTTTGTTTTATTTTTCTTCTTAGAAAAAACAACAGAAGTAGAAAAAGTTACAGTAGTTGTAAAACAACCAACGGCAGTTTATCGAAATAGAAATGGTCAATTTATTGCTCCGCCTAGTGAAGTAGACTTAACGAATACTGTAAGTTAAGATTTATTATATTATATACAATGACACCAAAAATTGATTATACAGATTTACTGTCGCCTATTTTTTTTTTTCATAATGATAATCGCTATAAAGAATCAAAAATTATCAGTTGAATAAAGAAATTTGTTTACAATAAAAATATAGAGAAATTAAAATCCTGACAGTGTTTCCACAACTTAATTTTTTCAGCACTTAAAACCTCAAAATAAAAGTTTTCGATTGACCGACATTAATTTTAAACAAAAACTCAAAAAGTATTTTTTTCGCTATTTTCTGTCCGAAACCCAGACAAAAAGGACTTCTAAATATTTCTTAAAATTGATCTTATTCAATCGAATAATGTTATGAAGAACGTAGAAACATTTTATTTTCTAGAGAATTTGTTGCTTTATTACCCTGTGTAAGCAAAAGAAACTTTTATTTAGAGATTTTTGAGTGCTAGAAAAAAAACTAGATTTTTAATTTTCTAGAGACTCTGAAATTTGGAAACACTATTAGGATTCTATTTTTCTCAAACCTTTGTTGGAAATAAGTTTCTCTATTTAAATTACGAATTAGATTCTTTATGGCAGTTACTAATACGGAAAAAAAACATCGAAATTAAATCTATATGATCTATTCACTCTCTTATTTAGACAATAACCAACATTTCAATGTCATCAACTTCTCCTAGTCAACGAATTCGAAGCAAATCAAATAAGAACAAAATAGTAATTTATAATATACGAGCTGCAATTTAACGTGTATTTTGTTTTTTTTTTTTTTAGTCAAGTCGAAAGAAGAGAATAAATAATATTATAACTACATTTTCATCTCAATCATCTTGTTTTCCTTTACTAACACCAAATAGAAGAATACCACGTCGACGACGAAGTAGTTCACATTCATCTTCATCAAAATCATCTGTTATTATGGCACGAAATCAACCAACAATAACAATTACTTCATCCGATTCAGCATTTTTTTCCGATGGTACAAATTCAAACTCACAATCATCAATAATCCCAATCAAACAAACTACAGAAACAACTTCACAAATGTCTCATTTACAGGTAAAAAAAAAATATATACGAAAAATCACGTTCAAATCAATACTACATATAAAATAATGTTTCTTCTCCATTTTTTTTTTTAGACAACAATAGTTCATTCTCGTTCATCTCGTCTTTTATCACCTGCATTATCTACTTCTTCATCGTCTTCTATATCATCTTCTTCGCTAACATATCCTGTTGGTCGTCAACGAACCTCATCTCAATATTCATCATCATCAACTTCATTAACAACAACGGTACATTCAACTAATCCAAACTTCCTTAGTTGGCGTCCAACAGTTCGTTCCAGTCGTCATTCAAGTACATCTTCTATTAGTTCATCATCATCAACAAATGATAGCGAAAATAATGACGCTAATACAAACAATAACAATAATAATAATAATAATAATAATGAAAGTGCAAATCAAATATCTCAACGGCCAGCTTTACCTAAACTAACAATTCGCATGAGACCAGATCCGATTTTATTAGATGAATTAGGAAAAATGAAATCATCGAAATCATCTCTTGTTACTATTAAAATTGACAATGGAAAACGATCATTAAAAGAAACATCAATTCATGAAACAACATCATTACGTTCAAGTAAACGCCGAAAAACATAAACAACAAATTTTCATTTTTCACTAATTCGCTTCTCATATATATATACGTATGTGTGTGTGTGTGTGGCATAGCTCAGATGTTTGCTTCTACTTTTTATATGTATACATGTGTATATTTACTTTTTTTTCTTCTGTTTTGTGCAGTCTAATATCGTAAGCTTTAGATTTTTCATTGTGTTGCTTGTCATTAACACATAAAAAACTTCAATATATATATATATATTTCGTTTCTCCCGAATAAAATTTATTTGTTTTTCTTTTGTTCATATGAAAAGAAAAATGAATGATTCATAGACAAAAAAAAAAATAACAAATTTTAGATATGGTGCAAATATTAATTCAACAGTGAGTAATTCGAACAACAATTCATTTTTACAACAATATTTTTTGATTTCAAGAGCAGAAAATTCAACAGAATTAATTTTAATTGAATTACAAGGCGCATTGGTATTTTTTTTTTTTTGAATATAGGAATATGCTGCTGACAAACAATCATTGTCCGGTGAACGTCTTGGCTTTCTGTTTTTTACAGAAAATGTGAATTTTCATTATATTGAATCATGAAAAAATATTATTGATTATTATTTAAGGAAATGCCAGTATGTGTGATTGGACAACATGTTCTCGACGGAAAAATGGTAGAACTTGATAAACCTTTATTAGTAATGCGTAAACGACAAGCAGATGGAATAAATAATACAACTTATCAAGTTCAATGTATGATCAAACGAAAATTACTTTTTCATAAACGATCAAAACCTATTGTACAATATTCATCAAAGAAATGTTGATCTATTTTTTTGTTGTTGTTGAATTCATACTAGATATACAAATGTAAAAGTCTTTAAGAAAAGCAAGAGATAATAAAAATATATAGAGATTTGTCTGATAAGTAGAAGAAAATATAATCTATTCTATTGAAAATAAATCAGCAAGAATTACTGTTCGAATATTTGTAGTGTTAATAAAAAACAGAGTGTGGCCCGGCTTAAATTATAGTAGACCGATCCTATATGTCTGGATTAGAACTGTCAGCGGAACAAGCCATCAAGTCAAACTGAATTTTGAAATTTTAGTCTGGCATGATCCATTCATATGATATTGGACCAGACTAACAGATCAGACCAAATCAAAGTTGTTTGCTTGTGTATAATGCAACATGTTTTTTTCCCTAGTATAACTTGAAACATAAAATGTTGCCAAAAGCTCATGACTTTTCGAAGGTATGATTGTGGGTCATCTCTTTACATATAGTCACTCACGTTCATACTAGTGTCCTGTAATAGAATCGGTTCGAATTTCAGAAATGATCTCATATTTAGGCCTAATCCGACCATTAATGAGATCATGAGGTTTCAAAATATTTCTACTTTTTCAAACTGTTAATTTATATAAAACCATAGGAGTGAAAACTGACTCGATCATGATTGAGAAATTTATTGTACTTGAGAACAGATCATAGACGCGAAAAGCAACTTTGTTTTACTAAAAAAATTTATTATTATTAAAAATTCATCTACAGATGATGAAGTAATTAAATACGTGGAAAGGAAAATAAATTATCAAAACTGTGAACATGTTTTATCGCAATAGAAAAAGCATTCATGTATGTATCTACAATTACGACGTTTGCCCACCAATACTATGTTTCATTCCATCGACATCAACAACAAGCAAACATGTAGTTAACGAAGTTCATCGATTTTTAGAAGCAGAAAGACACCAAGTGAATCCTGAATCACTTGATTCACGTACTTTTTTGTGAAATTTGGGAAGATGATCTTTTTTTTTGTTCCTGTTTATGAAAGAAAGTAAATGGTATACTTTGTCATATAAAATAAAAGTTTGAAAGCTGTACTGTAATTGTGAAACTATCTGTCGGATGTCGATTAGCTCCGGTCTGAATCTGATTGCGAGAAGTAGTGTCCGTACAGGACACTTCCTAATACCCGTACCCACCACACTCGCATCCTATAGTGAATAATCGGGACTTAATCCATAGAGGACGTTAGTCATCAGTATTTTTTAATCTACTTTATTTAATTGTTTTTCTGAATCTAATAGTATGAATTTTTATTAAATTTATGATATATACACAATCTAAAAAAAAAATAAAATAAATATAATTTCTGATTGGATATTGTATTGCTCTTATTATTACATGTGGTTCGAAAATGTTAAAAATTCATATTCATGATGATAATCATTCATTAGTTTTCGTGGATGATTAATTCTTTTCACATGATGTATCTTATCTGATAAAAATTACTGATGACTCTCATATCATCATCTCTTCAAAATGAAATCGACGATCTAACACAACGTCGTACCTTATTCAAACAAAAATGGATTGATAAACAACGAAATATTTCTGATTTACTTGCATCGGCTGTTGTTGCTTGTCATACAAGTGCTAATGATATTCATTCTAATGATTCACAACAACCATCACCACAACAACAACAATTACAACAATTGCTATCATCAGATACTATTGATGATCCAGATTTTGAACGTTTATTTATTGATTATCTCACCACACATGCACCAGTCTCAATTACAACTACTGCTCAGGTATTTTCCAAAGAAGATGAACAAATCAATTATTTATTAAAAAAATTAAAAATAAAACTTGATATTGATGGCAAAACCATTTTACCATTTGATAATGTTGATCAATTATTAATTTCAAATTTATCAAAATCTTCTTCTAGTTCATTAAAACGTTCATTTCCATCATGGATGGGTTTACCATCACGTCGTCGTACATTATTAGCGCGTGAACATCCACCTCGTCAACTTGTTCATTTACTTTCACATTTAACTGTACGAGAATTAGAACGAGAAAATTTTAATGCACAAATGGATCGATTACTTAATCGACAAACAGCTATGGAAAAAATGCTTTCACGTCGTTTTCGTACAAATGATACAATACAAGAATATTGTCAATATACAACACGTGATGAATGTCCATCAGCAACTCCACATTTACGTCTTCATTCTCGATCATCATCAACATCATCCGATAATGAACAACAAACAATTGAAGATGATTCACAAATAAGCAAGAAAAAAAGAAAACGAGATGATTCAATTGATTTAAATGAACAAACAAAACATTCATCACGTTATTATAAAAAAAATGGAAGAAATATAAATACATGTGGTAAAGTTCATTTTAGACGTTTAATTAAACCTCATACAGATCGTTCACTTGGTGATTGTTCTTTTCTTAATACTTGTTTTCATATGGTAAGAAAATAATTAAATTAAATTAAATTTTATTGATTTATTTTTTTTTATCTATAGGAAACATGTAAATATATTCATTATCAAATAGATAAAACTGATTTTACACCATCATCAAGTAATAATAATAATAATAATTCAAATAATAAAACCAAACGTCATTTACCAATTGTTGAACGAATTAGTCCAGGATCATTACCATCACAATGGGTTCAATCTGATCTACGTCAATTTGATATGTCTGTACTTGGAAAATTTTCTGTTATTATGGCTGATCCACCTTGGGATATTCATATGGAATTACCATATGGAACTATGGCTGATGAAGAAATGAGAAGACTTGATATACCATCATTACAAGATGATGGATATATATTTTTATGGGTAATTTTATTTACATAAACAAAAGAAAATAATTCAATTTTCATTTGTTTTCTTTTCAGGTGACTGGTCGTGCAATGGAACTTGGTAAGAAAATATTTTCTTGTTTTTTTTTTCTTTTTCTCTATTTTCGAGGGGTGGCCCCCTCATATGTAACAAGATTCGATCTCAATTGCTACTTCATCATATGACAAACAAAAAAGAGAAGATAATAATCAGCACGATAAGAGGAAGAAAACAAGAACACTGTGAATAAATGAAGGAGTAGTTAACTGAAGATTGTAGTTAAGTAGAAGTTTAATAGTGAAGCAATGATGTGTGTAGTAAAAAAATAGTTAATGAGATGAGTATCAGTAACAAAGATAAGTGTGCAACGAAAAGTAGAATAATAACAATGAATGAACTATTGTAGCTAACTAGGAAACGATTGGTAATAATCAAAACTACGAAATAAGCATGAGGAAAGTGCACAAAGAAAAGCAATCACAAACATAAATGTACACACAATAAGAAGAGAGAGAGAGCATAAGTAACGGATGGTACAATCACATACTTCAATCATCGAAAATTTTCGTGTTTTTTTTGCTTACCATCCTCGTAACAAGGATCGCACTCCGTCTACAATCTTAGTAATCTCGAAACGTTCTATCAAATTTAAATACTTATTCTTTTTAAGGACGTGAATGTCTTCGTATATGGGGTTATCAACGATGTGATGAAATAATATGGGTTAAAACAAATCAATTACAACGTATTATTCGTACTGGCCGTACAGGTCATTGGCTTAATCATGGTAAAGAACATTGTCTTGTTGGTGTTAAAGGTTCAACTGCTGGAATGAATCGTGGTCTTGATTCGGACGTTATTGTTGCGGAAGTACGTGCAACATCACGTAAACCAGATGAAATATATGGTATAATCGAACGATTATCACCACGAACACGTAAAGTTGAATTATTCGGACGACCACATAATGTTCAACCGAATTGGATTACACTTGGTAATCAATTAGATGGTGTTCGTTTAATTGAACCTGATGTTGTTCGAAGATTTCGACACAGATATCCAAATGGATATAGTGTAACAACAGGTAATCAACAACAAGAAATAAAAACATCGGTAACAAATCAACAAACAAATTCAAAATAATGAACAGAAAAAAAAATTAGTTTTGTTGTATGTACAATTTCGTTTTAATATATATATATATATAAGAAAGTCTATTAAATTAATTCTATCATTTTTTGTTTTGTTTCAAGTATATTTGAATGAAATTTGATATTTATCTTGAGTTGTAAATCTTCTTGTATTAAAAGGAAAATAAATATTATTGTATTTTTTTTGAGTTGTTCTCTTCTTCGAGAGAAAGAAGAAGAGAAAGCAAAAACTGTAAATGTTTCAAGTTATGTCAACAACATTTATTCTAGAAAAATTGTTAGGCGTATAGATTTTATAACTAAATTGAAAGGACTAATTGATGTTTTAGTACATAATCATCGATATCTTTTATTTTTATTTTATACGTTCTGTATTAGCCTTGGTATGTTTGTGAAACGAGGAATTTTTATATATTTATTTGCATTAAGTGTGTCTTTCACCTTATTCATCCTGTTATTATCGACTGTAATGTAAGAAGAAAAAAAAACCAACGAGAAAAAGAAAAAAGAATAGCAATTTGAGAGACAAATATAAATAGAATCAATAGTGAAGAACTATAAAAAGAAAAAACTACAGTATATACAAGACACCATGTTTGTAACATTGTGCATACGTGCTTTTAAAAAGAAAAAAGCAAAGAGTTTTCATGCTTCTACAAATAAATACACATGCACTCTCACCTTCATGCAATGCGACGTGTGCGTAGGAGTTTGTGCATCATGTAGAAGAACAAAAATTTCTTTCTATTTGTTATGTTTTAGATTAGAAAATTATTATTTTTTGGTTTTTGTGTGAGTTAAAAGCTCTCATTTGTTTGTATATACCATTCTATAAGATATTGATATTATTAATTGGAACCAATATTATTGAAAAAAATGGCTCAACCTGAACCAAATGAAGCTTTTCTTAAACAAGTTTTTCGAAGGTAAGCTTATCTCATATGAATTTATAATATTTCTGCAAGACTTAAATATCGTATGAATTGTTATATTTATGATAAGATTGTTAGACATAACAACAAGAAAATTAATAACACATATAAATCTTTAAAATTCATATTTTTCTGAAATTGTTTTCATTATACTATATACAAATTTTCTTTTAGAGTAGACACTGATGGATCAGGTTCTATATCATCGAATGAGCTTCAATCAGCTTTATCTAATGGTACATGGAGTCCATTTAATCCTGTAAGATATTTATTCTATTCAAGTAAAAGATAATATTTGTAATTGGATTTCTTTTTTTGCAGGAGACCGTTCGAATGATGATAGGTAAGTTGTAAATAACAGAAATGTCTTATTTCGATATTAGTAATTTTATTTTTCGATGTGTTAAAATTACAAAAAAAAAAGAAAATATTATCTGTTATGTTAAACTATTGTTTAAAACATATTTCGTACTTTTTTTGTACAAACACGTAAATAGTTCTATTGATCGAAGAAAACAAAAAGATGAATTACCTATATTTGATAAAGAAAAACATGTTAATAGTATAAATATTTATATTGATTAATATAATCGTTGATATGATGAATTTTTGTAATTTTTTTTGAGAAGAGAATTTTTTTTCAGACTATATTTGTTTCTTTTCGTTATTATAGGGATGTTCGATCGAGATGGATCATCAACTATTGATTTTCAGGAATTTCGTGACCTTTGGAAATATGTAACAGATTGGGAAAGATGTTTCAGGTTTTTTTTTTTTTGTCATTTGACAACATAAAGAAAATTAATTTAATATAGAAAATATGATTTGGATGGTAGTGGTACAATTGATAAACATGAACTTAAAACAGCATTGAGTTCATTCGGTATGTTTTCTATAAATCTCATGTCATGATATATACTGTTAAATATATACAGTAAAACTTCCCTTAGATGGGCACCGTCGGGACTTTTTTAAATCGCCCACTTAACGGGGGTGCCCTTGTTATAGAAGTTTTTACAGATATTGGTCACAAACACTAATCATACATATATATTACCAATCTATCCTTAGACCATCGATTGTATCAGGATTTCACTCTCATTATTTAATGTCTTTTCTTCAACTAAGTTTATTTTCTATTTTCTTATTTACAATCAAGTTTTTCGAAAAAAATCNATTCTTGCTTCCGGTGATGGACTTATTTATGAAGTGAATAATGTTTATTTTTTCTAAGTACAGTAAAACTTCCCTTAGATGGGCACCGTCGGGACTTTTTTAAATCGCCCACTTAACGGGGATGCCCTTGTTATAGAGGTTTTTACAGATATTGGTCACAAACACTAATCATACATATATATTACCAATCTATCCTTAGACTATCGATTGTATCAGGATTTCACTCTCATTATTTAATGTCTTTTCTTCAACTAAGTTTATTTTCTTATTTACAATCAAGTTTTTCGAAAAAAATCCGTAATTGAGCTTTGCTTGTTGGTTTTTGAATCAATGTAAAATAATCGTTGATCAATTCGATCTTCTTGTCAAGCGTAAGATAATGATGCGACGTCATTTCTCAATGATTTTATTCAGCAATGTTAAATAACATGACTATTTATACTTTTTTTTTTATCACTGAATGCACAATCAAATGTATAGACGAGTTATTTTGTTTGTGTCGTCAAACGAGACTATTCTCCATGTCATTCACAGAATAACAAGAAAAAAAAAGAACACTGAAGTGACTCATATGATGACTATAAGTGCCCATATAAAAGGGATTCGTCTATACAGTACGGCCTAAAAATTAGTGCCCACTGCTCAGAAGTGGGAGGTGCCCTTGTTATAGAGGTGCCCACATAGAGAAGTTTTACTGTATATATATCCTTCTTTGAAATAATGCAATTATACATTTATTCTGTTTAATTTCAACTTAATGGTTTTTTTTTCTGTCTTAGGTTTTCGTTTATCAGATCAATTTTATGACTTAGTTATAAGAAAATTTGATCGAACTGGTCGTGGTACAGTAGCATTTGATGATTTTATTCAAGCATGTGTTTCAATTCAAACATTAACAAATGCTTTTCGGCATTATGATCGTTATCAAAGTGGAGAAATAACCATTGGTTATGAAGACTTTTTAACACTTGTTTTTTCGCTTAAAATGTAAATACTTCGTAGGAGGCTCAATGTGCCATTTCTTTTACATTATCTCTATTATTTGTTTGGCTATGACGCATAATCAAGAAAAATGTTAACAGACATTACCAATCAAATCATCAACTATTTTGCATGTGTGATAGTTAACTACTGATGTTTTATATTCACTTCGCTTTTTATATACACGTTGATTCTAATTTTTCTTTTATTCTTCTTTTCTTACATAGGCGACTCAATACAAGTTTATGAAACATACCTGCAAAATTCTTTTTTTTTATTCATGGTCTTTTTTTATTATTCGTTTATTGTGATTAACGAATCTCAGTTAATCTATTTTCTTCCGTATTTTATTCCAATGTTGTTTTATCAAGTGAATTAGCGTAAGAACAATAATATTCTATGTTGATTGCTGAAATAAGATTGTTTCAATATGATTATATTTTTCGTTCATGTTTAAATAAAAATCTTTTTTATTCATATTTATGCTAACTGATCTTTAGTTTCAGTTGATGTTTCATCATGTTTTTCCAGGAATAGATGTTATATTTTTACAAGGACATAATCTATATTATTATATGTTATGTACTCTTTCTCAGCTCCTTGATTTTCTCAATAATTAAGTAATACAATACTGGACACAGTTTTTCACACGACTTTGTTTCAAGTGTAACTTTCTTATAAAGCTGCCTTTCAAAAAGTGGTTTGTGTCAAAATTACATTCAGTGTTTATACTATGCTCATAAAAAAATTTCATTTCTAAATGTTGAATCATAGTGGAACTGGATGTATAACATTCTCATGTAGTCAATTCGTTGTTGGACAAAACTTTTTTTATGATCTTTTAAGTTAAATATTTGTCTTTCCATGTTTGCTTAAAAGAACTGAAATCATGTAAATAGAAAGAACAAAACACAAGATACACTTTGATAATTAAAACTGTCTAAAAGCAAAATGTTTATGAAATGGAATGGATATTTTATGACAGACTTAATGTGAACACTTTCATTTTTATATAATGAATAATTTTTCTTTTCGACATATTTTCGAAAGAGTGTCTAACGCTGTAAATTTCTCAGAAAATGACTGCTCAAAATCAAAAAGTACTTTTTTTTTTTGGAAACTTTAAGACATCTGCTATTTTATACAGCGTCAGACATGCTTTCGAGCAGATTTGAAAAAGAAAAATTACTCATTATTTAAAAATGAAAAAGTGTTAACATTGAGTCTATCCTAAAATAATCATTTCAATTCATAAACATTTTTCTATTGGCAATTTTTAGTTATCAAAATATTGCTCGCTGTTCGTTCTTTCTATTTATATGATTGCAGTACTTTTGAACAATTTTAGAGAAAAATTAACGCAATTTAAAAAATTGTCTAAAAAATTTTCTTCAACACAAATTGACTACTTCAGATTGTTATATATCCAGTTTCACTAAAACTCAACATTCAGTGATGAAATTTTCTATGGATATTGTCTAAACACTGACTGTATCTTTCGCGCAAGCCACATTTCAAAAGTCAGCTTTAGAAAATATTCTAACAGTTTTTACTTTTTTTTTTTGCAAAACTTATTTTGATATTAAAACATCACAAGCATTTGTAAGATGATGCCAGTGTATATGTAAAACAATTTTATATTGCACTTAAATAATGAACTATTGTTTTACCGATACTGATAACTATGAAATCAAATCAACTAGACTTAGCAGTAGTGAATGTGTATGAATAGGATCATTTTTCGATTGTAATCGTGCTTTTATAATGACCTCAGTATATTTTGATCCATTGAAGACCAGTGTTCGAAACTCAGTACGCTTTTTCAGAATTTCAGAATTCTTGAAGTACTCACGAACGCAAGAAAGATACCGAAATGCAACAATGCAGATTTGTTGGCTAATCTAAAATATGCTGATCATTTTGCTTACAAGTATATAGGAAGTGAACAAGATGTTGAAATAAGCGAAAATAGTTTGAGTTCGACTGAGTATGAAGTCTTTTTCACAATATTTAATCTATGGATATTTGCTTCTATATTTTAATTATCATATTTTTACATGATTACATCGGACATTAACCATAGAAGATATGATAGAACTGACGACCCTTAGTTATTCACTCTTATCTGCCTATGTATGTTTCAATAGTCAATGTTCATTTGTGATGAGTTTCTCGAATCATATAGTAGTTAACCTTCATACTTCGTTTCAAAATAATCGAAAGACATTTTAAAATATCGAGTACAATTTTGAAGTGAAAATAATATTTCTCAGTGGAGTTAGGAATATTTTTTTAAGAGGACCTCAAACTTCAAAAGTGACACTCCATTGTAAAATAGCTGTATTTCAAAAACTAATAAGAATTAACACTTCAATTTCATATGGTAAATACTACGAAAGAAGTGCTACGTTTTAGTAAAAGCAAAAGTTTTCATCTATTTTCACTCAAGAATTATTAGCATTTTATGGAAAAAGAAATAAAACGTTTATACCTCACGAACCATCCAAGAAAAAGACGCTTAAATTTGTTGGGTGATCATCATTCGCTATTAACAATGATCACACAAATATAAAATTCTCGATCTATCATATTCGAGTAACGGTACTCCTCATGAGTTACTATTGAATTGACAGCTTAAATGTCGTATAGTGTTCAATGATTTCAGTAAAGATAAACATCCAATCAAATTTCATTTGGAACATCATTAAAACGACAAGATCTAAATCGATGCATGTTCAAGAATTGAATGATTGAAAACGTAAGATTTCTCATTAAAAACAACTCTAAATCGAAATCTCATCATAGAATCTAATAATTATTATTGAATCAATAATTTGATAAATGTTAATTGAAATTCTTGTCTAAAAAAAATCTTGCAAATTATTTTTCATAATAAATAAAAACCATAAAATTCCATTTAGTAAAAGCAATCTAGATCGATAAATATATCCTTGAAATAGTTTTTATCAACAATTTCAAAACAAAAACAAAAATGAAATCTAAAACCAACTAATAACATCATATTAAACAACTTCATACATTGCAGATGTTGAGAAAAAAAAGTTAACAAAGAAAAAAGAATTTGTTATTTTTTTTTGCTTTCTAATAAGCATAACTGTGTATTAATTTTTTTCAAATCGTTTATTATGTCAAACTTGAGGAGAAAAAAGCAACATCAAGTGATTTGAATGTATGTGAACAACGATATTACAATTAATAAGATCCACACGAAACTATGTCTTAATGTAAATGAAAATAACAAAGAAAAGACGACATGGCTCAATGAAAATTAATTGAAGTAAATCTTTTCATTTTTCTTAAATAAAGGAATCATAAAAATAATTCATTTAGCAGTATTCGATATATTAGAGATTGAATATTTGTTTTGATCGACAGATAAAAGTCTGTCTTTCATCTTTCTTTTTCTCTCTTCATTTGTCGATCTTGTTCGTTACAAATGACATTTTAATGTAGACTACAAAATGAAAGGTCATAATATCTACACCTTGGGAAATTATGATGATGATGATCGTATTGCTTCTTCTTCTTCTTCTTCTTCTTCTTCTTCTTCTTTATTCTTTGTGTCATTGTATGATAATGGCCGTTGTTGAAAGACAGAAAGAGAGAGCGAAGAAGCAATCCATTGATCGACCAGCAGGAATACAGCTGAGAAAATAAGCGACTGATCATCGAATATATTAAGCTTAAGTCAAGGTGTTGAGAGAAAAAGACGAAAGTTCCATACTGTGCATAGCATATGTAACTTGATCACTTTACGATGAAGAAGACGAACAAGATAAGTAAGCAAACTGGTCAATACCAGCAGGATCAAAAGCACAGCATGCCGATTAACGCATTCGACACCTTATCGCCACGAGCACACATTATGGATGATGCTACACATCACCATTTTGTAGTAAAACGATCAAACGCTAGACGGATATGCTATTGGGCAAAGTGAATAGACAAACCACGAAAAGAGGAAAAGACTTATCCAATGCACAGCTGTTAAGTTAAAAAGATTTTATTTTCAATTGGTTTAATTCTATTTTTCCTCTGACATCATATATAATGATGAACGGTTCCGAAATGATTGATAATTTTTTTAAACTTTAATAATTTTTCTTTTGCTATGTAATAATTTTTGTATGAGTGGCGGATCTAGAATTTCTATGATGGAAGGGCAATCATGATCATAAAACGCGTCTTGAATCTCATTAAAAGTAGTATCAGCTCATACTTAAGCCTTTTCTACTAGGAGAAACCAAGAAAAATGTTTTCGAAAACAGAGCATTCGTCCCCACCACTCTTCCCCTAAATCTGCCATTACTTCGTATTTCAATTGACTTTGAATAGTTGTATGTGCACAGATAGACTTGAAAGAGTAAATATTTTATATTATAAAGATGGCACTTCATATTCGTACAAAAGGTTAGACAGTATTTAGGTTATATGTACTTATAACCTTAAGGTGAACGTTATAAATCAATTCTTTTTTTTATAAATTAAGTATTAATTCCTCCGGAAGGTTTTTTCAACTGATTGGTACGACCTTATTTTCTTTTTTTGATAAACAGGTAATCAAAGTTTTACCTAGAAAAGAATGTATTTGTCAGAAATGGTTTTTCTTTTTTTTCTTTTAGATAAGTATCATTCATTAAGTTAAACAGATTGATTAATGAACAATTAATTTCTTTTTTTTTTTTTTCAGTTCGATTAGATAAAACAACAAGACAAAATTCCACCAGTGTCGTCCAGATTTATCTCTAAACTTAATTATTGTAATTTTATCCTTTAGTCTATTATACACTTCTGGTTCAAATTAAAAAGAGAACGTCTTGAGTCGTAATGAACCAATGAACATCTTCCGCATGATGAGCAAAAGTCCCTATGGAGAAAGAGAGAACATGACGATGATGATGATTATGTTTGGAGAAGAGAAAGGAAGAATAGTAAACAAGTTTATCGTTGGTTGCAATATACACAAAATAAGAGTATCGATGTGGGAAT